TCCCCTTCATCATCCTCCCCTCCCCCCTCCTATCCCCTCCCCTTCATCATATTCCTCAAAACTCTAGCCTACTTCTTATGTCGCACTAGCCAACCTTAGAGGCACTAGCAACCTGCACACGCCTCTTTTGTCAAGAAAAACTTACACATAACATATGGTTATAATAATTTGTTTTTTAAACTTTTATATAGAAATTATGCATAATTTTTTTACAACACCATGATTCCCTAAGCAATTGTTCCTAAACGACTAATCTTTTATTTATTGATCCAGATTTAATTCAATCTATTTCATAAATAAATTTTCAATTACAATACTTCACTAATAATCCCTTTGCTCTTTTTAGCTTGACCAACTATTTGTTTTTGTTCTTCCTTTTCCCACATTCACTTTATATCAAATTAAAATTAACAAACCTAATATGGACCATCCGGGTCAACGCCTGCCTCCTCCTTAATTATACTTGCGACTTTCCCCACCACAAAATTTTTGATGCAAACATTAAATGGTCGCCATGGGATCCAATTTAAAAAAATACATTTCTCTTCCTCTATACTATAAAAATTAGGATATCCTACAAAAATGATCTCTCCTTTTTCTATTAGTCTTTGTATCAGCATACCTGTTTTGGGGATTTTTATCCCCGCCACGTGGACCAACCAGAGTCTGACACGTGTCACCCTAAGGAGAGCCTTCAAGGCCCAAACTCCTAGGCAGTCCATCGGGTTTCCTTAACCTAGGACGAGCACGAATCCCAAGACTCTATAAATAGAGACTTTCCCACCTAGGGAGGGGGGATATTGAATACATTCAACACATTCAATTCACACGAATCACGAGAGTAAATACTCAGATATTGAGATTGTCTATGATAGCCGGATGACCATAGAGAAACCTTATTTCACTTTACATTCTGCAGTTTTTATCTTCCGAACACGTTCTAACTTGATCGTCGAAGGCGGAACTCTACTCAACCAGAGTCTTCGTTGTTTTGCAGTCCGGTCTTAGTGTTGTAACTCTCCCGAGGGACACAAAAAACCCCAAAACATTTGGTGTCGTGTGTGGGGAGAGTACTTCTAAGATGGCTTCACATGAGTCTGTACCGCCTCCTAATGAGAAACGGCCTACGGCCGAAGCTGCATGGTGCCGAGTGTGATGTCGAGGGCTTGCTTACCATGTGAACATGGATGGACCTGGTCGAAAGGCCGTCTGAGTGTTATCCAAGTCAACAATTATCATTATTCGTTCACGAGAGTAAGGCTTCCGGCCATGGTACCAAGTATCATGTCGAGAGCTCATGTGAACATGGTTGGACAACTACCTGGTGAGAGTATTTTTTTCAAGAGCAACCAGCATGCCCCCAACTCCGCAATCACAAGTGGCAACTATGTGCCAGGGTCGATATGAGGAATTGAAGCCCTAACTCCGCCAATACAGGCGCCATTATACATGCTTAACTCTTAACTTAAAAGCCGAGAGGTCGAGATGTTGAGCAAGGCATCCGGCCAAGATGCTGAGCATTGTGCCGAGAGCTCACGTTTACACAGCAAAACCGAACAACTCTTTGCTTGAGAATAAGTGTTGCCGAATGATCATTATAGCTTGTTGAAAGCATACTCTCTCAATTTCTTGTTCGAAAGTGGTTGTTGAGTTATAAGCAACCGGCAATGGTGATTTGGTGTGCCAACTTAGAAAACCAACATCAAGAAAGTCGGCTGTGTGTATACAAGTTAAGCCATGAACTGTATGGATGGCCGGCACTTGATGTTAATTATTGTTATTTCATGACGATTATGAGTATTATTGTTATCACATGACGGTTGATATATATATATATAAAAGCAAAAAGAAATATATATAAAAGCAAGCGGTCAATGACAATTATGGAGTCATCCGGCCGAATGATCAAACTCATACACCGTTCGGCTACTGGTCTGACGGCCATTCATAGCTCAGTTGCCAAATGGGGCATGGACATTCTGGGTCGGGATACACCTGCTCGATGGCCAAACTGTCCACCTGGTTTGGGGCAATCACCATAGTGATTGATTGACTTGGAAACCAATCATACTCTCTAAAGTATCAAAAATTTCAATTTACCTTTGAAACCAAACGCACAGCCGTGCAGGGGCAAAAACAGGCGTTATAGTGAAGAAAACAAATATATATATATATATATATATATATATATATATATATATATATATATATATATATGTATATATATATATATATATATATATATATATGTATATATATATATATGTATGTATATATATATATATGTATGTATATATATATATATATGTACGTATATATTTATATATGTATATATATGTATATATGTATATATATGGTCAATGGCCGGATGATGAGGGCAATGGACGGATGATATTTAAAACCGTTTGCTCCAACATGAACCACATAAGCTAAGTCTTAAAACATAGCAGCTAAGCGTTGTTCCTTTTAATACAACCTAATAAGGCCAATGGCTGGATGATATTTAAAATCGTCTGCTCCAACATGAATAGACATAAGCTAAGTCCAAAAACTTAGCACATAAGCGTTGTTCCTTTTAGAACAACCTAATAAGGCCAATGGTCGGATGATGAGGCCAATGGCCAGATGATATTCAAAACCGTCTGCTCCAACGTGAGCAAACATAAGCTAAGTCCAAAAACATAGCAGCTAAGCGTTGTTCCTTTTAGAATAACCTAATAAGACCAATGATCAGATGATATTGCCAATGGCCAAATGATGAGGCCAGTGGCTGGATGATATTTAAAACCGTCTCCTCCAACATGAGCAGACATAAGCTAAGTCCAAAAACTTAGCAGCTAACCGTTGTTCCTTTTAAAATAACCTAATAAAGGTCAATGGCCGAATGATGAGGCCAATGGCCGGATGATATTTAAATCGTCTGCTCCAACATGAGCAGACATCCAGCAACGCCCATACGGGTGAAATTGTTGCAGAGAGCATCTCCCATCCGAGTGGTACATTGCTCTATAAACTGAGGCTAATGGTCGGATGATGAGGCCAATGGTTGGATGATATTTAAAACCGTCTCCTCCAACATGAGCAGATATAAGCTAAGTCCAAAAACTTAGCAGCTAAGCGTTGTTCCTTTTAAAACAACCTAATAAGGCCAATGGTCGGATGATGAGGCCAATGGCCGGATGATATTTAAAATCGTCTGCTCCAACATGAGCAAACATAAGCTAAGTCCAAAAACTTAGCAGCTAAGCGTTGTTCCTTTTAGAACAGCCTAATAAAGGCCAATGGCTGGATGATATTTAAAATCGTCCACTCAAATATGAGCAGACATCCAGCTACGCCCATCTAGGTGAAATTGTCGCAGAGAGCATCTCTCATTCGGGTGGTACATTACTCTATAAATTGAGGCCAATGGCCGGATGATATTTTAAATCGTTGCTCCAACATGAGCAGACATAAGATAAGTCCAAAAACTTAGCAGCTAAGCGTTGTTCCTTTTAGAACAACTTAAAAAGGCTAATGGCCGGATGATAAAGCCAATGGCCGGATGAAGAGGGGTAGAAGATTCAGGGGCACCCCTGACCTTTACTCCAGAAGGAAAACGGTAACATCCCATCCGCCCGACTGCATATGACACTTGTCACAAGCGCCACGTGGCACGCCACGTGACCCCTGTGAGGGGCAAATGTTTTGGGGATTTTTACCCACGCCGCGTGGACCAACCAGAGTCTAACACGTGTCACCCTAATGCGTGGCAGGCAGATATCCCACGTAGGATTGGCGGCCTTCAAGGCCCAAACTCCTAGGCAGCCCATCCTTAACCTAGGACGGACACGAATCCCAAGACTATAAATAGAGAGACTTTCCCACTTAGGGAAGAGGGATATTGAATACATTAACACATTCAATTCACACGAATTACGAGAGTAAATACTCAGATATTGAGATTGTCTATGATAGCCGGATGATCATTTCTGACCATAGAGAAACCTGATTCCACTTTACATTCCGTACTTTTTATCTTCCGAACACGTTCTAACTTGATCGTCGGAGGCGGAACTCCACCCAATCGGAGTCTCTATTGTTTTGCAGGTACAGGCGTCCGGAGTCCAATCTTAGTGTTGTAACTCTCACGAGGGACACAGAAAACCCCGAAACAATAACCGTGGGTAGAGAAAAAATGAATTGAGTAACAAAGAATTATTAATACCATAAAACCTGCTTTCCAACAACCAATTAATAAATCTTGTCAAACGAAAAAAAAAAAACAACCAATTAATAATGACGAGGATGACAGCTTTCAAAACAAGAAAGCATTGAGTAATTCTATATGAAATAAGATGTATAAATTTTCAATTTTAACACCCTTTATTATCTTACAAATTTAATATCTCATAAGTACTCAATACATACTCTATCCGTCCTAGATTATAGTACGACTTTCCTTAGTAGGTCATCTCGTTGCAACACTTCTAAATGTTATTAATCCAATGCATTTCATTCACTATTTCTCCCTCACATTGGATGCAATATCCATCTACTATAACAAACACTACCATTAAATACAATAAAATATTATAACCCCACCACCCATGAACAAAAAATTAAAAGAACCCACCATCAACTATCATGTGAAAAAATGATATCAATTGATTTGTATAAAAACCCTACACTGGTCTAAGGGGTGTGACTAATCTAAGGGAGTGAAAATTTCACATGTTAACATCGCATTAAACAAGAGCAAACTAAAGAAACCCATCTAGGAAACGGTATTATTAGTCGTACATCAGGAGATATGAATAGATGAGAGTAAAATAACTCAAATAGCATAGTATATCCACACAAAAGCACACAAACACAAACTCCGTATAATTTCAGTGCACAAAAACTTCATATTATTTTCGTAAGCTCCAAACATACAAGAAAAATGATTAAAATTGGAAAAAGAAAAAAGAAATATATAGACCACTATAACAGCAAAAGATTCGATGAACAAAATATACCTTTCATAGGTAATAAGTTAAGCAAAGCCTTTCCCGTCCTCCTTTTCATGGATCACAGCCTTTTAACGGAGTTGGATGAGTTAATTACAAAATGTTGTAGGCAATCATTCAGCTCAACTGACTGAAAATACAAATATGCGTTAGGGTTTTTAAGATATCAGCAAAAGAACACATCTATTATAACGAGTTAGTACAAAGATAATACAAAATTACCATAAGAGACGGCTAATTCCATACAAGTACATAAATAATCAAACCAAATAGGATATTCTTTATGTAGATGGGAAAGGGTTACTAAATCAAGCCAATTTCATTCTTGTTTCTCTTTAGAATTTATAAACTCTATAAGATAGTCCAATTCAGATAGGAAAAAAAGAATTAAAAAAAAAAATGGAAGTATTCCATTAACAAGTGTCACATAAAGTAGGTGTTTCTGTTATAGAAATTACAGACCTCATAGATGACTGAACCACAAAAATTGAATTGTGATACAATTAACTCATTTTAATCATAGGTAATTTTTAGCATAGCAGAACAAGTAGATTACTCTTCTACTGATTGACAATCCTATAAAAATGACTGATGAAAAACTACCTTTCTTATCATAATCAACATTAAGCAGGAAAAAATATAACATAACTGTGTTATGCAGAGTAGCAGAAAAAGTGTAATACCCAATATTGATAATGCCATTCATTGGATCAAGAAACTGTGGCTGGTGTTGCGATTGTTGTTGCTGGTGAGGTGACTGTAGGGGCGACAATTGCTGTTGCGGCATCAAACTCATCCCAGCAGCAGGTGTAGTAACCACAGCGGAAGAAGTAGGAGCCCCTTTCGCCTCAACAAACCGCCAGATATACCAAGACGCCACAGACCGGTACGGGCGCCATTTCTCACAAAGCTGGTCCATTTGAGAGGGTCTAGGCAAGTCCTCTAAACCATATAACAACTGAACCCCCTTTCTAATCCCTAAGTCATTAACAGGCAACACATCTGGTCTATGCAAAGCGAAAATCATAAACATATGAACAGACCAAGACCCAATTCCATTCACCATAGTAAGCATAGTAAACAAAGATTTATCATCCATGTTGATAATGGCGGAATCCGAGAGAATCCCATTTTGGTATTTCTTCGCCAAATCATGGAGATAACTCGTTTTTCGGCCCGAAACCCCGATTTGTCGAAGCTGTTGAGGCGTCAATGCCAAAACCGTAGCCGGAACAACGCCCGATTCACCACCACAAAGAGCAACAAAACGAGAGTAGATTGAAGTTCCGGCTTTGTAAGCAAGCTGCTGGTATAAAATACTCTTGGTTAGGGCAAGAAAAGGGGTTTGATATGAATCGAATGTCGGGGGTGGATGAATGTCAATAAGCTTAGCAAGATTTGGATCCGCGGTTCTAAGATGATTAAGAGCATTCTCAATTTCACCCTCACACGACATAGAACGGTGATGGGTTGCAGCAATTAATCGAGGTCGAGCGACAATTTTGCAGTTATTGCTGCTCTTCATCGACGATTCAGAGTTTTCCGGGGATAATTTACGAAGTTTACGCGGACGAGAGGGGAGCTTTGCCGGCGGTCGGAGATTGACTACTTCAGCAGTTGGGACAACTGGGGCGGTGGCTCTGGCGGTAGCGGTGGCGGTGACGGAGGCGGAAGCGGAAGAAAGGACAGGAGTGTTCTCGTCCTCGGCATTTAGATGGATTGGATCGGCCATTGGCAAAGGAGCTGCGGCAGCCTCGTTTGTAGCGGCGGCCGATGATGGGGTTCCGGAAGGGGTAATGGATGTAGAGAAGGAGGTAGTAGTAGCGGTTTTCATGATTTTATGATTCTACGTTACAGTAATTCAACTTTAGAGGTGTTAGACAAGAAGAAGCCCATTTTATAAAACTAGGGTAGGTCCCATGTCATGTACGTAATTTTCAATAACTATTCTTTAATTAACATTATATTTAATTATAAAAAATTAAATTTGGCTAAGTTATTACTTTGTAAAATGAATTTATTATGAAAGTCTATCATTAGCAAAATAGATACTTTAAAACGCATATAATGGTGATATATACTACCTCTGTTTTTTTTTATGTGTAACTTTGGCACATAAAACGGTTCACGAGACAAAAGATTGAAGGGCAAACATTAAGAAAGTATAATGGTGATTAATATATTATAGGAGTATGTAATTAAGGTGGAGAGAGAATGTTTGGATAATTAATCAAACCATCCAATGCCACCACCGCCACCGCCGCCGCCGCCTTCACCACCACCACCACTACCACCCCCACAAAACCACCACCACAACCAACCCCACGAAACCACCACCATCCTCACGTCTTTCCCTCTTTTTCCCGGCAGCCCCCTCCCTAACCAAAAAAATCCAGATCTAACCCAGACCACCTAGACCCACATCTAACCCAGACTACCCCACCACCTAGACCCACATCTAACCCAGACCACCCCACCACCCACGCCACCAAGACCCACCTCTAACCCAGACCACCCCACCACCCACGCCACCAAAACCCAACCCTAACCCAGACCACCCCACCACCCAAACCCACCTCTAACCCAGACCACCCCACCACCCAAACCCACCTCTAACCCAGAAAATCAAAATCAAAACCTGGAACCTCGGGTTATGCCTGCGTATACGATCAATTGAACCATCCTCGACATTATCAGCCACCTTGTTATCGAAACCACCTCCGCAACTGCCGTTGACAGCCGTTGCGAAGGTGGCTAGAACAGAGGAAGAAGCAAGATTATCAAAAGAAGCAACACCAGAAATCATACTAGGAACAGAGGGATTCCCCTGTAATTGAAACTCGTTATCGAGGAATTGAAACTCGGTTGTGGTGGTTCGAGGAGGAAGAGGCGGCGAATTGACGAAGGAATTGCGGAGATTAGTGGGCCCATTACCACCATTGAGGAAATCTAGTAAGATGAAACCCTTATAATGGGAAGTAGTGTTAGTTGCTGAATTGTGATGAATTGAGTGAATGTGAGAAATTGGGGTGTTTGAGAGTGAATTGGTGGCGATATTCTGACATTTTTGGAGGAGAGAGAAAGAAGAAGAAGAAGAAGAAGAAGAAGAAGAAGAAGAAGAAGAAGAAGATAGAGGAGAGAGAAAGAAGAAAAAAGAAGATGAAGAGGGTGAATGGGTGGTGGGTAGATGAGTAAATGTGTGGGTAAAATTAGGTTAATGATTTTAGATTAGACAAAAAAGTTATTATGATTAAAATAAGATAAGGGTAACATTAAGAAAATCTGAATTTTTAAGTAAGGGTAAATTTGTAATTTTCAGGGTTTTTGTTTACTAAAAATAGAAAGAAAATAGAAAGTTGCACATAATAGTGAGCGGACTAAAATGGCAAAAGTTGCACATAAAAAAAACAGAGGTAGTATATATATATATATATATATATATATATATCATTTTATTTTTGTTAATCAAATGAAAATCTTAACTGTATGTATTTAACTTATAAATAGATTTCTTTTTTGAAAACTATTATTCATTCTCTGAGAAATAATTTAAGTGCAATAAAAAGATCAAGTTAATCCCAACTACATAATTATATAAAGGATTAATACTGTTTTATTTAATCCCAACTTTCACCAATTTATTTTCATTAATCCCAACTTTAGATTATTCCTTAATAATCCCAACTTTAAGGTGGGTTATCATTCTTCATACCCAAACCGGTCAACAACCTTCTATTGTAGGTTGTTGGACACGTGTCGCCACGTGAGTGGTCAAATTTTTTTATTATTTTTTTTACTGAACCAAATTTTTTTTAAAAAAAAAGAAAAAAAAAACAGAAAATTAATTTTTTTTATTTTTATTTCCCCCTTCCCTTTAACAGCCCCTCCCCCTCCACCTCCATTAATGGCAGCCAGCCAGCCACCATCCCCTCCATTTCCGGCAGTCCCCCCATCCCCTCCATTTCCAGTAACCCTCCTTCCCCTCCGTTTCCGGTCGTCTTTCCACTTCTCCTTGAAACCCCTACCCGAAACCCACCTGAAATCCCCTTTCCTCTTCCCTTCCCTTTCTCCTCCATGACTTCCGACCACTCAATCGAACACCCAAACCCCTCGAATTCCAGAAAAAACCCACCCACCTTATCGAAAAACCGCCAAGAAACCCTATCCCATGGCCGATTTTGTTGTTGATGATGATGATCAAGTGGGGTTTTGGCGTGCTTGGGGGAGTTTTCAAGGTGGCTAGGGAATCTTCGAGGTGTTTTGTAGTTTTTTCAAGCTTGTTTGTGGGGTTTTTTCGCGGTGGAGGGGGGTGGGGTAGGGTTGGGGTTTCGGGGCGGAAGGACGGTGGGGGTAGGGGTTTCGTGGCGGCAGGAGGGCGCGACTAGGGTTTTAAGGAGGCAAGAGGGTGGGGCTAAGGGTTTCGGGGTGGCAAGATGGTGCTGTTGGAGGTTTCGGGCGGCAAGGGAGTGGAGCTGGGGGTTTCAGGGAGATAGAGGGGTAAGGCTTGGGGTTTCAGGGCAGCAGGGGTTGTGGCTAGGCGTTTTGGGGCGGTAGGAGGGTGGCAACAATGGGGGGAGCAATTCAGGTGGCAAGGTGTATTTAGGGTGGTGGTTGTTGTTTCGGGGTTTTTTTGATTTGTCCTGCGGGAGAGTTACAACACCAGAACTGGTAGCCGACCACCTGTACCTGTAAAAGCACAGAGACTCCGGTTGGTTGGAGTTCCGCCTCCGACGGTCAAGTTAGAATACGTCCGAGTGAGTAAAAATGCTGAAAGTAAATGGTCTATCGGATTCCGGGAGATTCTGCAATTAATATTGCTCGGTATTTGTATATGTATTTATGAAGGTGCAAAAATGTGCAATAAATGAGGACTTTCCTCTATTTATAGTAGAAGGAGATCAGTTCCCCTATTAGGGTTACAGTGCCACGTGTCAGCATCCGATTGGATCCCCTTGGGCCTCTCTGGGGGGATGACACGTGTCAGCATGCCATTGGGCCATGTGGCATAGGGTAATTTGACCCTAAACAGTTGTAGCACTGGTTGGCATAGGGGGATTGGGGGAGCAATTCAGGTGGCAAGGTGTATTTTTTTTTTAATTAAATTTTCATTAACCAATTAACTTGTGACACATGTCACTTTTTAAAAAAATAAAATAAAATAACCCATTCAACCGATCACCGATTTTTGGGATTGAACAATGATAATCCACCTTGAAGTTGGGATTATTGAGGAATAATCCAAAGTTGGAATTAATAAAAATAAATTGGTGAAAGTTGGGATTAAAAAAGTATTAATCCTTATATAAATATAAGCGATACGATATCGTATGCCTTAATACTTTGCATTATCAAAAGGGGTTATTATTAATCGTATTTAAGCTAAATATTTTAGGACAATTCGGGCATCGCCCGGGCACAAAACTAGTATAAAAATAAAGTAGGCATTTTTCAAGAGCATTCAGCGTGCCACATAGGCAAATGTATTATTTCAACCAATCAAAAGTTAGATTTATATTTTATTTTACAATTAAAAAATTCACTCGACACCTAGAAAAAGTGACGAATGAAATTTAAGAATTTTATCACGTAGGTAAAAATAATAGTAATTTATTAGAATTTTAATTATTTAAAAAACTAAAACTTATCTTTTTTTACAGAAATAAAAAATTATCTTTAGCTATTAAAATTGGTAAAAATAATAGTAATTTATTAGAATTTTAATTATTTAAAAAACTAAAACTTATCTTTTTTTACAGAAATAAAAAATTATCTTTAGCTATTAAAATTTATATTAATTTAAAAAAATTATACAAAATTATTTATTAAAAAAAATCATTCAATCGCATGATATTATTGACCAATGACAAAATTAGATTTATATTTATTTTAGAATAATAAAATTTATTCACCACCTAAGCAAAATTAACAAATGAGATTTAATTAACAATTAAAATTCAATTTACACGTAGCTTAAAATGACGGATAGTGATTGATGAAAAAGTTCAATAAAATGTTATGAGACTTTTATTTTACTTTAATCAATTCAAGTGTCATCAATGAACGAAATTGCACTTTTTATTACATTAAAAAAAATAAAAATTATACATTTCGGATGAAAAATTTAATCACAATACTAATAATAATAAAATATTAAACTTACAAAATAAAAATCATGTTCAATAAAAAATTAAAAATGGTAAATTATGAAAATCATGTTCTTTCAAAAATTTAAAAACATATTCAATTTTGGATTGGATCGAAAAAAAAGATAAGAACATATAAAAATGGTTATAATCAAATATAAACATTAAAAATAAAATATTAATATTACATATTATAAATTAAGTTCGATTAAACTTAAAAACATGTTTACTATAAAAAATAACGATGAAATATTAAAAGTTATTATTATACTCTGTAACATATTTATACATTTAAAAAAAAACACTGATAAAAAAGCGCGTTCAATCATAATAAAAAGAATTTTATTAAAAAAATGTTCAACTTTAGATTAGACATATATATATATATATATAGGATCATATGAGACCACCCCCCTTATGTGAGAACCCTATTATATGTGAGGACATATTACAACCGTTGGATCAATTACATCCAACGGTCATAATACAACCCGGTAAAACAAAACAAATTTATTTCCTGCGTTTTTTCTCTCTCCTCCTTCTTTTTCGCTCAATTTTCTCTCTCTTGATTCAAGTTCTACGGTTTTCTACTCTGTTTCTCTCTGATTATTCATCACAAGTTCTTCATTCTTCATCAATTCTTTGTTAATGTGAGTTTATTGTTTATACATTTGCTGTTTTTCAATTAATTTTAGGTTACATTCATTGTTTATTTTCGTTTTGATTTTTGTTTCA